GCTGGGGTGCAGTGATGAGATCTTGGCTCACTGCAGCCTCTGCCTCCCAGGTTCAGGGGATTCTCCTGCCTCAGTCTCTCAAGTAGGTGAGATTATAGGCGCGCACCACCACACCCAGCTAATTTTTGTATTTTTAGTAGAGATAGGATTTTGCCATGTTGGCCAACCAGTCTCAAACTCTTGACCTCAGGTGATCCGCCCGCCTCAGCCTCCCAAAGTGTTGGGATTATAGGCATGAGCCACCATACCCAGCCACGTATGAGAATTTTGATATCCTGGGAAGGTCCTAGAACCAATTCCCCATGGATATCAAGGGATGACTATACAGACACAGAAAAAAATTATAAAGAAATCTATCAAAATGCTAATCACGGTTTATCTGAGAGGTGGGATAGTGGGTGATTTTATTTTCTTTTTGCTTTTCGTAATAAATAAATTTCCTTCCAAAATATGTGTTACTTTATAAAATTAAAGTCATTTAAACACTTATGAAGTTGATATATTAATGTTCCTTCTTCCTATGGTCACTGCCTTACCTGTGGTTTAATCAGTCTATCAGGCCTACAGGCCTGACTGAAAGTTGCAATCTTCTCTTTCACCCCTTTTCTTAAATCTTGAAGTCTGGCAAATATGTATCAAGAACCTGGAAGAAGTAGAAAAGTGATGAAACAGGTTCCAAGTTCTCTGTAGTAAAAAAAGGGTTAACAGGCCGGGAGCAGTGGCTCACACCTATAATCCCAGCACTTTGGAAGGCCAAGGCAGGTGGATCACTTTAGGTCAGGAGTTCAAGACCAGCCTGGCCAACATGGTGAAACCCCATCTCTACTAAAAATACAAAAATTAGGCTGGGCGCGGTGGCTCACGCCTATAATCCTAGCACTTTGGGAGGCCAAGGCAGGCAGATCACAAGGTCAGGAGATCAAGACCATCCTGGCTAACACAGTGAAACCCCGTCTCTACTAAACATACAAAAAAATTAGCCGGGTGTGGTGGCACGTGCCTGTAGTTCCAGCTACTTGAGAGGCTGAGGCAGGAGAATTGCTTGAACCTGGGAGACAGTGGTTGCAGTGAACCAAGACCACACCATCGCACTCCAGCCTAGGCAACAGAGTGAGACACCATCTCAAAAAAAAAACAAAAAACAAAAAACAAAAAACAAAAATTAGCCAGGTGTGGTGGCAGGTCCCTATAATCCCAACTATTCGAGAGGCTGAGGTAGGAAAATTGCTTAAACAGGGGAGGCAGAAGTTGCAGTGAGCTGAAATCTCAAAAAAAAAACTCTATATATAGTCAATTTTGCTTCCTAACTTTACTCATAGCAAAGAAAATTAAGTATGTCAAAGGGCATTTAACTCTCCCTCCTCTTTCTCCCAGGAATTCAAAGAGAATTAGGGAAGAGACCCAGAAAAAGCTGAAGGAAAATTAACCAACAGATGTAGACGAACTCTGAAAATCTCCTGGTACCTAAACAAGAAATGAAGGACTCTCTCACATAATCCTGGACAATCTTAACTGCAATAAATTAATTTTATCAAGGTTGAAATACACAGATTTAAGCATAAGGTTAGCCAAATAAACCCTATTCAGCTAATTTGAAAGTCTAAACAAAATTACCAACCTAGTTGGGTACAATTCAGTTTTTCATACCCGCAATTTTGTAGTCAATTCAGATAGTGCCTTCCTGCCTAGTCAATTCAACAGGTATTTAGTGGGTGATTCCTATGTACCAGGATTGTTTCAGTCCCTGTCTAACCAAACTCTTGCTTATCAAGAATTAGGCAAGGGTGGCTTTGTGAAGCACAGAAACACAAACTGGCTCTTGATCTCCCTCACCTCTAAATTGTCCGGACACTTAGAATACAAAACAGTAGAGCACTCAGATGGTGTCCTGTCTTGTTCTGATTCTCACTTGCCAATTTCAAACCATGTTTTTGTCCCCAAACACACCAAAAAACCTTTGAGTTCATCACACATCTGTATACCCATATCTCATGCCAATCTGAGCACGCAGTACCCTCAAAGGACAACTAAATGGCTGAGTTAGCTGAGAGCCACATAATTTTGATCCAAGAATGCCAGCTTAATACTGAACTGACTCATCCATCCAACCAGGGGGACGGACTTAAGTCTGACGTGGGGGTGGTGTAATACACTAAGGCCACAATACAAGAACATCCTTACTACAGCAGCAAATAGTCCTATTTTTGACAACATTTGATGAGTGAGAGAAATTCAAAGAGAGGCCATAGGATGTCAAGAAAAGGTAAGGGTGAACCAGGGAGTAAACCAAGAGCTGGTCTTAAAGCAAAATCTAAGAGTCAAAAATCCTTTTCTATCCTAAGTAGGCCTGATTTGGGGAAGTCCATGTTACTGAACTACCAGAAAATTATATGTGGAAAACAAGACGTTATATGTCAAGAAAATAGGGGATAAACCAATTCTACAATATTATAACCTGGTTTGGTTTTCCTTCCCCCCTCCAATCTATAAATGTTGAGAAAGGAAATGAGAAAGGGAATAATATCTGGTGATTCCATACAAAAAGAGAGAGCTGGACAAATATGGATAACATATAATGAATTTTAAATCCCAAATAGAAGACAACTCCAAATGGACTTAAACTCTCCCTCAATTATGTTCTCACACCATCTAATCATCTTTCTGTTTTAGATAACAGTTTTGAAATGTCCTTATTTGTGACTACCTCTGTTTTCCTCCATCAAACGCCACACTTCCTGAGGGCAGGGCTACTGTATCACCCATTTCTCGAAATTTATCTAGATTCTGGCCCACAGTTTCCTCCTCCTTCCTCCTTCCTCCGTTTCCGTCAAGAGGGACCAAGAATAGCACCAACTACATTGGCTTGGCGAGGAAATTAAATGAGAACGGGCACGCAGGGTTCTTAGTTCAGTCAATGTTTATAACCTGTTAGCATGGTAATAATAATTATCGTTACCTTTATTAGACGATAGCCTCCCGCAACTCCTTTTCCCCCCAGTTTCCCGGACGGACTTCAGAGCAAAATCCTGTCGCCAAGAGAAGGGTGGCCCGAAGCCCCCGCTCGCACCCTGCCCCGCCTAGGCGGCGACCGAGCACCGCAACCGCCTCAGAAGCCAGGCCTACCCGCGCGAACTGCGCTAGGAGCCGGAAGGTGAACTTCAGCCATTCCAAACTCCGGGAGGAGGGAGACCCGCGCCCCAGCTGCTCCCTCTTTTCTTCCCACGGCTCACCTAGCCTCTCCTCAGTTCTGACAACGAAGCGCCAGCCAACCCGCCGCGGGACTCATTCAGTATCGTTGAAATTTTGAACCCAGGCAGCCTAGTCGAATGCACCAATTAGAGCTCCAAGAAAGCAATTCCAGGCTCCCGATTGGCCCTACAGAGCGCAGCAATACCGGAAGTCAGAAGGCGGTACCAGCGAACAACGAGGCCGGGAGTTCCCGGGAAGTGTAGTCTCCTGCGCCTGCGTGAGTCCACTGGAACAGCCCTTAGGAGTAAATTACTACGAAGACCGGAGTGCTCTGCTCCAAACTCTTTGGGAAAGGTGGTACCAACTGAAGAGGTAGAAAGTCGACTTAGATCACAGAATGGCGCGCATCCTGGACATCCCCAGGCTTTCAGGGAAGAAAACTTTATTTTTAAAAATTATTCTCGTTATGGTTGTGCATTATCCCTTGAAGGTTCAGAGGAGTTCACTCGTCTTAACGTGGAGTCTCCTGCATGCAACATAGACTTGCCCGTAGCGTCCTTCCCAACCGTGCATGTGTCTTCTCAAACCTTTTACCCAGGCCCTGCCCTGATCTTGTTCGTTGGGTGCTTTATCCGGTTTTATTCCCAACTGCATTCCGGCTTTATGATCCCCATGTGGTAAAAAGAAAACAAAGGCTCGGAGAAGTTGAACAAACATGTCCAAAATCATATAATAGATGGAGAAGACGGGATTCGAATGAAGAAGGTCTGTTCTTTTTATACATCACCGATAATTAATTAGAGGCCAGGCTTCGTGGCCCTCACCTGTAATCCCAGCTACCCAGGAGGCTAAAGCAGAAGGATCCCTTGAGACCAAGAGTTCCAGAACAGCGTAGATATCATAACGAGACCACCCCCACCATCTTAATTTTTTTAATCAATTAGAAAATAGAAGCAACAAGCACAACAAAACAACCCCCTTCATAATACCAGCAAAAGCTAAAGATTCAAAACTTTAGCCCTAGGCTGGGCGCGGTGGCTCACGCATGTAATCCCAGCACTTTGGGAGGCCGAGATAGGCAGATCATTTGAGGCGACGAGTTCAAGACCAGCCTGGCCAAAATGTTGAAACCCCCATCTCTACTAAAAATACAAAAATTAGCTGAGCGTGCTGGCGCGGGCCTGTAATCACAGCTACTTGGGAGGCTGAGGCAGGAGAATCACTTGAACCCAGGAGGTGGAGGTTGCAGTGAGCCAAGATTGCACCACTGCACTGCAGCCTGGGCGACAGAGCAAGACTCTTCTCAAAACAAAACAAAAAAAAAAAGGTCGAGGCAATTCCAATGAAAGTCCCAGTGGGTTCTGTTCTGGAATTTGCCAAGTTAATTCTAAAGTTCCTATGGAAGAGCAAAAGCACAAGTAGTGGCATCTTGAATTTTGAAAAAGATTGGGGAAATTGACATACCAGATTTTGTACATATTAACATGAAATTATAGTAATTTTTAAAGTATGGTTCAATTAATTCACACGCACAGGGGGCAATCAGCAAAATCCAGACAGGAAAACCACAGGACAAATGATTTAGTTTATTCAAAACATAAACTGCCAAGAGTTTGGTTTTGTTTTCTTTTCGTTGTTGTTGTTTTGTCTTGTTTTGTTTTGTTTTTTGAGACGGAGTTTCATTATTGTAGCCCAGGCTGGAGCGCAACGGTACGATCTCGGCTCACTGCAAGCTCAGCCTCCTGGTTTCTCCTGCCTCAACCTCCCAAGTAGCTAGGATTACAGGCACACGCTACCACACCTGGCTAATTTTTTATATTTTTTGGTAGAGACGGGGTTTCACCATGTTGGCCAGGCTGGTCTTGAACTCTTGACCTCGGGTGATCCCCCTGCCTCACCCTCCCAAATGCTGGGACTACAGGCATGAGCCACCACACCTTTTGTTTTCTTTTTTAAGAGTCCTCGTGTTGTAGAGATACATAGAGATATGGTAGGGATGAAATTACTCTGGCACCTGCTTCCAAATAATTGGGAGTAGGCAGTGAAGATAAGTAGGTGGGGATTTAGATGAAACAAGATTAGCTACAAAATGATAATTGTTGAACCTGGTGATGGGTTCATAATATATAAATACATACATATACTCTTGTATGAGTTTGAAATTTTCCACAGTTAAAATGAGGTGGTTGCCTGGTGCAGTGGCTCACACCTGTAATCCCAGCACTTTGGGAGGCCAAGGCAGGTGGATGATTTGAGGTCAGGAGTTTCAGACCAGCCTGGACAACATAGTGAAAACCTGTCTCTACTAAAAATACAAAAAATTAGCCAGGCATGGTGGCGGGTGCCTGTAATCCCAGCTACTTGGAAGGCTGAGGCAGGAGAATCACTTGAATCCGGGAGGCAGAGGTTGCAGTGAGCTGAGATCACGCCATTGCAGTCCAGCCTGGTCGACAGAGCAAGACTCTATCTCAAAAAAACAAAAAAAAACAAAAAAAAAAAAGTGGGGGGATGGGGGAGTAGTGGTTGTTGTTGTGGTGGTTGTTTTGTTGTTTTGAGATAGGGTCTTGCTGTCACCCAGGCTGGAGTGCAGTGGCAGGATCACAGCTCACTCTAACCCCAACCTCCCAGATTCAAGTGATCTTCCCACCTCAGCCTCCCAAAGTTCTGGGATTACAGGCATGAGCCACCGCACCTTGTCTAAAAAGAGATATTTTTGCTGGGCACAGTGACTCACGCCTGTAATCACAGCACTTTGGGAGGCCAAGGTGGCCAGATCACCCAAGGTCGGGAGTTCGAGACCAGCCTGACCAACATGGAGAAACCCTGTCTCTACTAAAAATAGAAAATCATTCTGGCGTG